ATTCCAGAAGCGTCTGATAAGGTAAAGGGCAGTCCTGATAGTAAGACCAATAGTCGGTAGGGCTCTGCACTGTTCAAGATGAAATGCATAAGGGTCAGCAGCGACTAAATAATGTATAACCTGGTTGACAACAAGGTAGTAAATAAGATGAGAGAAGAATAGGTTGGTTACCAAAGCCAGTTAGCAAATAATTTCTAGAGAGTTATTAGATCCATCATTCCTTGTAAAAAGTTTGATTAAACCGAAGTGGTGTATTTATCCGATCGAGCACAGAGTGTTGATCATAAAGGGTGTATGTCCTCGTGCAACTGACAACCTTAAACTATTGACCGACGCCTCCAGAGGATACCCCGCCCCGCCCCCGGTCGATAGGCGTCGGCGCCGGCGTGGCCGCCGCGGCCCGCGCCGAACGGGCGGGCGATAATTTGGGCCGAAGAGCGATGACTTTCCACGCCGCAATGCTTAATGTGCGGCTGAAGTCACGGCTTAAAAGGGAGTACCAATTGTTGGTAGGAACGTATCGCGCCAAAACATGGCACGAGAAATACGATTGTTTTCAAGATACGTCATGGATGTTGACAAAATTGTGAATTGGTGCCTACTGTTCCTAGCGGAGCTAGGTATTCAGCGTGCGGCTGGGGTTGGGTGGAGAATTCTAGCGGCCGGCTGCTCTGATCGGTATTTTTCCGAGGTTTCTCCGATCAACACCCAGGCGAATGCAGGAGCAGTACCCTAATAAACGGCCCACGGACAGTGCGCGATATTTCCCTCCTCTCCCATTCCTTGGTGTCCTACCACTTACACACACAAGCACTGTTGGGGCGGTGCCCCGCTGGTAGGAGATGCCTGGTTGGGAGAAGCCCGCTAGTGGACGGTAGCCGGCTCTCACCTTACAGCGGGGGAAAAACATGGCCACGTCCCCAGGGAAAACATGCGCCACACTTACGGGACTAATGCCAGCTGTTGACGCGCCCGTAATCACTAGCACTCAATCCACGAAGCAGCCGTCCTCCCCTTCCCCATCTTCCGCCATCTCGCTGCAACCGACTTCCTCTTCTTGTCGTGTTTCTAGTGGCGTTACGCTCCTGTTCAGGCGCATTTCGCCAAGACGTGTAACAGATATCGATTTAGGGCCGTAGTTCCTGCGATGCTGCAATAGATACAGGGCGTTACCTTCGCAATACTGTGCTAGTCGGGGCCAACGGAGAAAAATGGCGTCGAAAGCAGCTCTTGAAGTCCCGACCTTTCCTTCTGGGAATGGTATGACTTTGCGAATACGTGGCAGCCGTGGAGCAGCCGTGGAGCAGCTTCTTCACTTTCAATCCGCTCCGTGCGACTGCATGAGGGCCTTTCCAGATCAGGGGTGTTATATCAGAACAGTCATCGCATCATCTGTTGTGCTTTGGACGCTACCGAAGCGGCGTGGTCTGCAGTAACCACAGACAACAGAGTCACTGTCTTTGCCTGACCCAGTCCGTTTCGGAAACTGTTGAAAGTACTGAGGAAGGAACTTGATATCGAGTCTTTCGCTCTATACCTGACACGGATTTCGTTCAACAAAGCCTATCAAGCCTTTTAAACCAACGAAGCACCAGAAACGCCAAAACAATTAGCTCGACACGTCCTCACTATAGGACAAAGAAGACAAGCACTACCCTCTGATGTTCTAAAGGCGTAATGCAACACAAAAGCCGTTTTGGTTATTGGCTAAAGTCCGACACGAACCCACACCAGCCTCTTACACAATGCAGTAAAACGCGAAATGAGAGCGAACTGCTACAAAAGCACACAAACTTTGCCCGTTTTTTGCAGCCGTGCAAAAAAACAACTAAAAAAAGCGCCCCACTGCGAGCTTTGCTTGAACAGCTCAAGTCGCTTCAACCGTCGATCCAGCGGCGCCACTGCCGCATTTGCGAGGCGTTGCCCTCTCTTTCCAACCGTTCTGCAGAATCCTGATGAATTACTCATACTGAGCGGCAGGTGGCTGGAGCCCCCCCCCCCCTCAAAGGGGGGTTGCAGCTCAATCGATTGACGTTTAGTAATTCGGAAATGTAGTTTAGATAAATGTATAGAAAAATTATTGGTGAATACCAATACCCTAGAGATTTCACTGGATATCCCTTTCTACCGAAGACCAATTACATTGGTCAGAATATGATACTAGCTTTCATGTAATAAGACATGTAGATGACCAAAACATCTCTATACGGGAAATTAAAAAAAAATGACTTCAACGCCAATAACTTATTTCAAAATCAGTCGCTGGAACGTTGTGTTCAACAATTCCGTGGCCGCTACGCACCTGCAATGTACAACCATCATATTAATACCACGCGCGCACGTTTTCTTGTCATTCTACAGCGGTGTGCGGGAGGAGGAGGGCCAGAAACTGCACGAGTAGAGCGCGGCTAAGTCACGGCTTAAAAGGGTATACCAATTGTTGGTATGAACTTATCGCGCCAAAGCATTGAATTGAATTGAATTGAATTGAATTGAATTTGCGTTATTTTACGTGGCGAGACTCGGGCCATCAGGCCCGCTCTTCCGTCTGACCACGCAAATTTCGATACGCTCCTTTCACCAACTAGGAGAGAAAGGAGGTATTTCTTGGGCGAGAAACAGGCGATTTGAATTTAGCTCAGAGACGTCATTTAGGGGTCATTCTTGAGGATCTTTTACATGCAAGTAAATCTACGAACATGGGACAGCCGGCTTTACTTCCCCTCCGAAGGAAGGCGTACGAAGGATTTTTTCGCCCTTAAAAATCCACGGCTTCGATCGGGTTTGAACCCGCCAACTTGGGAACAACAGTCCAGTACGCGTTACACCATCGCCGACGCCTGGCATGGCACGAGAAATACGATTATTTTCAAGATCCGAGATGGATGTTGACAAAATCGTTGGCTAAGAATTCAGCGCGCGGCAGGCGGTGTGCGTCTAGGGCGACATGTCTCAAGAAAACGCGCAAGTACTCGTAATACGCAAACCTGCTGTAGATTTACCAATATTTGCGGAGAAATTACGCAACAATTTCGTGCGCGAAGCATTTGTCTGAAAGCTCTCGGTGCTCATCTCCTTGAGATTACTTTTTCAATTTACTGAATGTAACAATTGATAGTTGCAAAAAAAAAAAAAAAAAAGCATTTTCTGCGAGAGCACAAACAGGGAAGTATCGATTAAGATGTTTGCATTCTTTAAGATCGATTATCGACGAGAGCAGCATGCTAACCGGGGAGTAGGGGAATGAGTGAGAGTTTGGTGGTGCTAACCATGATGCAAATTCTCTGGCGTCGTGGTGCTAACCAGTGCCCTCTGGAGAAACTAGTATTCCAGAGGGCGGTGTGCTAACCCCTCGGTCTGAGCATGGCCAACATGGTGTAAGACATACACTGGGATGGCCAACCATAGTCGTGGCTGTTTCGCAACCCAGAGTAATCTATTCTTATGTTGTGGGACATTTATGATGCTTCGAACGACGGTGCAGCTTTCGAATGTTGGAGTATATAGTGATTGTTAAAATTTGCAGCAACTTATTACTGAATGAGGCTTCAAAGTTTTTCATGTGTAAGGTAAACTTGCTCAGTTCCTCACCAATTTGTATTATACTAAAGTACTGTTTTAACATTGTCGCTAATTCGAAATGAATTGAATATACTCAAAATTAGATTGCTATATTTTTTTGTTTCAATCACATAACTAATTGGAATAATTTATTACAGTGTAATGTAATACGGCAGCTTTCAAAAATAACCAACCTACTCACTGCCTCGCGTATAGTGAACCAAAAGATCAATGAAACAATTATATTTTAGCGCAAATTTCCAAGTTTGAAACTGATAAAAAGGGTTTAAATTTCTTCACTATCGCCCACATTGTTTAAAAATCGGAAATTAATGCTATACAATGTTATGAGACACAATCCAGCAAAAAGCTGAGATACTCCAACGTTATCGTGTCGAAAATAAAGTTCAAAAAATATTTATTTATTTAATTTGGATTTGGCGGTAAAATTGGTTGACAAAAATACCTTCAAATTCAACTAATATTCGCCGTCTCTCCATTTTTACAGTCTGTTAAATGCAATAGAAGCTGAGAAAAAATAAAACATGAAAAACACGTTTCCCATTGTATATCTGCAACAAATTTCCCCAGGAAGCTGATTTTTGGAGAATCTACGGCATTTTTATTCTTTCGTATGAATATTGAGATTATCGATTTATTTTGGGGACACTTTTCACCTCTTTATTCGGCTATATCCTTTGCAGACATTTAAAAACAAAAAAATGAAAATGTCCCAGAGGCTTCATGTGAAGTAGCTCCAAAATTAAAATAATTCTTTCCAAAACATTAAGGTTTCAAGACGGAACACATTGATCAGGGAATCTTCATTTTGGAAAACAATTCTACGAATAGTTTAGACCCTGTTGCTCACGGACAGACAGACGGGCGAACGTTTTGAAAGAAAAAAGAACAAAAGCTTTTCCGGTATTAAGGAACTGCACAACGTGTATTGCGACTACTCTACGTATTAGAGGTAATTTACTACACATAAGAGCAAGAACAATCTTCTTTCAGGTTGACATGAAGCCACAAAAAGAGTTTTTCTATAGAAAAAAACAGCACTTTTCAAAACATCATAACAAACCTCTATGTACTCGTATAGTAGGTAAACGAGAAAGTAAAATGTATTTACACATGCTTAACGTAATAATTGAACTCACCTATGTCTTATAGACTAAGTCGATTCTTCGATCCTTTAAGTCAGCAAACTTGTGTGTAATGTCTTCGTAGAATGGTTGGGTGTTCAGTATCCGAAGAAGTTCCTTCTGAAGTGCAATATTCCCCAAAGATCCGACGATATTTTTACGCTTTTCAGACAAGAAATGCTTCTTTACACAGTAGTTGTAGTAGAAGAGATGGGCAACATAAGGGAGAATAATTTGTGTCTGAAAAATATGACGATGTCCTCATGAACTATTTCGGACAACTTTTCTGTAGAAAGTTGTCTATACTTTTCAACTGCAAATAAAATAGTTCGTTTCGTAAACGAAGTGTTTTGGGGAAATCAGATCCATAGAAATTTTCCAAGTTTTCAAGTGCCCTGGAAGGAAATCATGTATAGAATTCTTCAAATTTTGTGCTGTCGGCAAGGCAAACAAACTGAATTTTTTTCACAATTGCGAAATCTCTCATCGGTGGTCCATCAAAATGTCCAAAATTTCATAATACAAGGCTCAATAAGACTGAACACATCTTCATAAATGGAGCGGTCTTCACGTATGAGGCGCATATCTGTCATTTTCGTGGCCTTCTCAAAGAACAGAAAAAATGTTCATCCCTCTTGGTTCCTAGCATATCACAAGTAGTTCTTATTTTTTTATAAACAATAGTTACCATCCCTTAATGTTTTATTATCTTCGAAGACTTTACGACAAAATTGTTTTCTTTGTTGTATTCACAAATTTATATGAACATTTGAGCGATGTCTGTCTTTTTAGCACTAGTGCTAAAAATTAAAACGTTTAGCCCGCTATGCAAGCCCCGAAAAAACCGCTTATACTGTCTGTCGTGAATACGGGCTGTCTAAAAATACCTTTATGGCGTTGTCTTCCAAATTGGAGGTTTTTAGGCCGTAGTGTCAGGTGAAGAGCAAGTGGATAATAAAAATATATTAACACCTGCTGAACTTAATAATGTAATTCATCTATGTCTTGTACACCAAATCGATCTTTCGCTCCTCCAAGACCGCAAACATGTCTGTGATGTCTTCATAGAATGGCTGTTTGCTCATCAACTGTAGAAGAAGTTCCTTCTGAATTGCTATGTTTCCCAAAGAAGAAAGCCTCTCTTCTGAAATTGCATTCCTGAGGTACGTTTTTATGCGTTTCAGGCAAGAAACGCTTCTTTGCTCAGTAGCTGTAGTAGAGGAGAGGGACAAGATAAGGGAGAACAATTTGTAAGTGTCCGTAAATATGTCCTTATCATCATGAACCATTTCGAACAACTTTTGTGTAGAAACTTGACGATACTTTTTATCTGCAAATAAAATAGAAAGTTCGTTTCTTAAGCGAAGTGTTTTCGGGAAAACAGATCCGTAGAAATTTTCCAAGTTTTCAAGTGCATTCGAAGGAAAGCATGTATTGTATTCTTCAAATTTTGTACTATCAGCAAGGCAAACAAATTGAATTTTTTCACAATCGCGAAATCTCTGATTCATTTCCATCAAAATGTGGTCCAGAATTTCATAATACAAGTCTCGATACGTTTGAATACATTTATTCTCAGAAAGTGAGCTGTCCTCACGTGTCAAGGATATATCGGTCATTTTCGTGGCCTTCTCAAAAATAACTGAAAAATTCTCTTCGTCCCTCTTCGTTCTTAGCATTTCACAAGTAGCCTTTATTTTTGATATACAGTAGTTAATATCCAATGACCGCTTTTGCAAAACATCACACAGGATATGCGTTAAACAAAATATATCTTGAAACACTACTGCCAAAAATGTGAATTCAAAACTCCTCATGTCGCGAAGAAATACTCTGGCGTGTTGAATAGATTTACTGTCGGATTTTTCACTGCCTATTATGTTTTCGAAAATATTTTTCAGCTTTTCCCACTCGTCCACAATTACACTCAATAATTTCGAATTGGAGCTCCAGAGGTCAAATGGAATCCCTGGTTCCGATGCCGAAGTAATTGCGCAGATTATCTTAGCTGATGTATGGAAAAAGGTAGGAATTCCAGCAATAGATGAAAAAAATATACGACAATGTTGTATTGTTTCACAACTCTGTTGTAAAGTCAAATTTAGGGGATGTGCCAAACAATGAACAAGCACTGCAAGAGGAGCTTTCTCCTTAATTTTTTTCTGGAGTATGTTTACATCGCCAGGCATCACACTTGCACCGTCATAAAACTGACCTACTAATTTATGTTCAGAACCATATGGTCCCAAGAGTTTGTCCAATAAAGCAAAAAAAGTATCTGATGATCTGTCACCACTTATCTTATGGAAACCTAAGAAACGCTCCACCACAGCTCCATCAGCGTTAACGAACTTTACTATTGCAGAACACTGAGACACCTGTGTAATATCTGACATATCATCTATCTGAACGGAATAAAAGTCTGCAGTTTTCAATTCTGTTTGCACAAAATCATTAATATAATCTGAAATGCACTCAATTAATTCATTTTGAATACTTTCAGATTCATCATTGAATACATTTTTTATCTTTGAATACTGATTTTGTATTTCTACAGGACTCCTTGATACCAGCAACTTTAGCAGTTCGTTAAAATTCCCAAGATTTGACTTCGTTTCATCGCGACCGTAGAACGGTAATTCTTGCTTACTTAAATAAAGTACTGCATCGATGACTAACTTGAAGAATAGTCTGTTCAAACGTACATTTTCATTGAACTGCACAGTATACAGCCTAGCATTTTCCTTCAGGACATCCGAAATATTTCTACTTCTTTCGAAAGTTTTCAAATTAATTTGGCTCTTTATATGCTCTGCTGAATCTGAGTGTTTATGCAACGACCGTGTTATATTCAACAGGGTGGCAAATCCTTCTCTATTCCAAACGTTTCTTTTATTACTAAAAAGCAAGCATGGCCAACAAAACAATTTTTGTAGAGCTGGAGAGGAGCACAACCACGGGAATTCAGTAAACCACGACCGCTTGAAACTAAGATTATAGCTTTTCTTTGAATGTTTAACTTCTTTGATGCCAAATATGTGTAGACATACAGTAGGGCGTCCACAACTTACAACTTCCTTCTTATCTTCCTCTCTCCAAAGTAGAAATGGCGTTTCTAATAAAATACACACTATATCGTAAAGAGGATTCATTTTTGACGCAGAACAACACAACACAGCACAGCATAGCAAAGCACTACTAAAGAATCGCAATAAGAAAAACTTTCACACGAGAAGACGAAAAGTGAATCTGTCGCCTGCGCTTCACCAGCGCGGTTCTCCGCGGAGCAGCGGCGGGGAGTCTCGCTGCTCCGTAAACACTTTCGGGGGTGACGTCACGGTTGTCCTAGCAACCGGCGAGATAAAGCTGCACGCTGAGGTTGAGGGAGAGGGGAGGGAAGCCTGCTTCACTTCAAGGTCGAGAGCGCAACAACTCCGTTCAGTGGCGCGCTCACGGCGCGTTCAGCGGCGCGTCCGTGGCCTGTACATAATATTAAAGCAGCTGCTGCTCCAGTGGGTCGATTGCACAAGAATGAACGAGAGTGTGAATGAAAAAAAGAAGGAAAAAGAAAGAACATTATAAAGAACTTTCAAATGAACAAGATGTATTATTTAATGGCCCTATGGCATTGTAAAGTAGTTTTATTTAGAATAAACATAAGATATTAGTTTATTTAAGATAGGCCCCTCTTCCCTCTGCTGAAGCCTAATGTAATCCAAATCTACATCTATATATAAACAATATGGAATGTGCGTGTAGCTCATGGACGCAAAAACAACTCGATGGATTTTGCTGAAATGTTTACATTTTGTTCTTATTAGCAATGGTTTAAGAGGGTTTAAAGAGTGATTTTAATTAAATCGCACATGTGGTGGAGTTGATGATGATGATGATGATGATGATTTTAATTATTTTATGACGACTCAATCGCCCCTGAACTCTATGCAAACCCCTGCAACGTAAAGTATTAAGTGCGTCTTCACTGCATACATATACTGCGTGCCTCTGCGATTGTGAAATATCGGCCAGAAATATTACTTGAATCTCGTACAAGTAAATCAAATTTCTTCAAGATGATCGTAGTGTCGTAGTGAACGCATGCTTAGATTTGAGGGTGAACGTTTTAACAATATGACACTTGACAACCTGGTCCAAACCAGGACAAACTCATTCTAGCGAGAAAGTCTTTCATCTATTAAAATGTTAGCACAGTGTAGCGTAACGTGTGAGTCGACGTGACCAAATAAGTGTGTGCTGTGTAATACCCTGCGATAGCGAAGCATTGCCGTGTCGACTTGTGATGAATAAAATCCCCTATCTTTAGGGTAACTGGAGAGAGGAATGTTGAAAAACAATGGGTCGAAGGAGGGGAGGGACGGTCTATGTTTCAAACGTCGTTTCATCTGCTTAACTTCTATATTCTCTTATTTCTTGGGGTTGAACAGATACATTTTGCAGTATTTATTTCTAGTAGATGTAGATTAGCTAAAGTTCCATATCTGGAAAAGATCGGGTATTACATATGGGTGTGGATGTTCTTGATCGTTTGGAAGAGTTTCCTGGAGCATCGGGGGGATGGGGACGATGAACGTTGTTAGAGATGCCTTCTATGTTAGTTTCAGGTTGTGGCACTCGGTTTGTCGAAGATTCTGGAAAATATGTTGATGTTGAAGTTGAAGTAGTTGGGTAAGAAGATTGTTGAAAATTTGATGGTGGCGAGGTTGAAAATTCCATGTTTTGAACTGGAGTTGCTTGCATATAAACGTATTGAGCAGAAGTTCAATATCGGTTGACAATCCTTCAACATCGGCTGAAAACATATTTGTATTTTCCAAGACAACTCGTCTACCGTAAGGGAGATAAGTATTCTAATTAAATGTTGATGAGTTTTTGTAGTGTTTTTGTCCCTTTTGATAAAATAATAGTTGTAGATAATAGAGTCAAAGTATTCTGAAATAATTCAATTATAAGCCAGAATATTTGAAATAATATTTAGTAGTACTATTCTAGAAGCACGATCACTCGAGAATGTATATTATAGTATAGCGTTTTCTTCTTACAAAGTAAGTGCGAGAAAGTAAAAACGAGTTTGATCTGTATCTAGGTGGCGTTGGTTTAACTTCACCGTCACGTACTCATGCAACTGTTATCGCAGCATAAAGTTCACAGGTCTTCAACAGGAAACATTGGCAGCTGTACAATGGATCGTAAACTGGAAGTGATAATTACAAGTGTCAAAGAGAAACGTGACTCATCCTTAGGTGTAGTTGGCAGTTGACTAAGCTAACTTTTACTACAGCACTTTTAGATGGGAGCAACATGCCCATAAAAAAGCGGGTTCAAACCCGATCGAAGCCATGGACTTCTAGGGCGAAAAATCCTTCCTTCGGAGGGGAAGTAAAGCCAGAAGTCCTATGTTAGTATATTTACTGCATGTAAAAGAATCTCAAGTCTAAAAGAAGCCTCTGAGCAAAATTCAAATCGCCTGT